GACATAACGGTACCTCCCGATATTCGGTATTTTGATGATTTTAGCTATATTAATCACCTATTTTTTTCAAGTTTCACATTTGAATATTTTAATGGCTTAGGACAAAAGTTTTATATGCAGGTCCACGTCGTCGTATAGACCCTAATATATGGCTACATTCGGTATTTTTAAGACTTTAAAAAATGCCAAATTCGTTCCAAATGGTGGAGGGTATTTGAAGTTCAGCCAGGACGAACTAACAGCTTTTTTACTTGTTTAAAAATATTTTTGGATTTCTGTTATTATTATCCAAATTATTGACCCTCTAAGGATTAGAAAATGTTTAAAATGTGCGTGAGGTACCATATATAGTCACGGAAATATTCCATTTTCATAATTCATCTAATACAGATAAAAATATTGGTATGGGCAAAATTAAAAGAAAATCAAACATTTATATCCAATTTTATGCGAAATTATCAGTTCCATATTCATGTCAGGTTTCTGGATGAGAGAAATATTTAGATATAGCAATTTGTAAAGAACCGCTGATTTGTTTCTCAAGTTATGATAGAAAAATCTTGAGTTATCAAATATATTTGTATGTATGCAATTTGAAAAGAATTGGATGCCTATTTCGCTTTCTTTGAGCGTTTTGTTTTTTAAAATCTTGTATCCTATGTGATCTCTACCATCTCTATAATACATCTAGTGTTGATGGAAATATTGAGTTATACCAAGTCTGAATGGAATCGGATGTTAATTTCACGCTTTATGGGCATCACGTTAATTAAAAATTTTGACCCATTGTGGGGAAGGTACCAGAAGGAGTGCACCGATATATCCCATAGCCACAGCAAATCTTGTGTTAGTATAAATAATTGGATGTGTGAAATATGAAGAGAACTGGATGTTTATTTCGGATTCTATAATCGTTTAGACCATTTAAAATATTGACCATTTGTGGGGGAGGAACCAGAAAAAGTGTTCCGATTTCTATCATCTTTATAACAGATTTTGTGTTGATAGAAATATTGATATGTGCCAAGTCTGAATGGAATCCGATGTTAATTTTGCGTTTTATGAGCTTCATGGATATTCAAAATGTTAACCCTTTGTGGGGGAGCTACTAGAAGGAGTCTACTCATCTTCAGAGCAGATCTTGTGTTAGTAGACGTAATGGGATGTGTGAAATATGAAAAAAACGGATGCTTATTTCGGTTTTTATAATCGTTTTGGTTATTCAAAACTTTGAGCCTTTGTGGGGGAGGTACCAGAAGGAATGGTCTGATCTCTACCATTTTTATAACATATATTGCGTTGATGGAAATATTGACTTGTACCAAATCTGAATGGAATCGGATGTTAATTTCACGTCTTTTGAGTTTCATGGCTTTTCAAAATTTTGACCCATTGTGTGGGGAGTAACCAGAAGGAGTGGACCGATATATCCCACATCTACAGCAGATGTTGTGTTAGTAGAAATAATGAAATGTGTAAAATATGAAGTGGTCCGGATGCATATTTCGGATATTATGATAGTTTTGGCTATTCATAACTTTGACCCTTTTGGGGGAGGTACCAGAAGAAATGGTTGGGGGAGGTACCAGAAGAAATAGTCCGTTTTCCACCATCTTTTCAATAGATTGTATCTTCTGTTGATAAAAATATTAAGATGTGGCAAATCTGAATGGAATGGGCTTTTGTGGGGGAAGTACCAGAAGGATTGGGCCGATATATTTGATCTTCACACCAGACCTTGGGTGTTAATAAAAATATTGTGATTTGTGTAATCTGAAGATAATCGAACTCTTACATAAAATTTTATAACAGTTATAATTTTTCAAAATTTTGACTCTTTGTGAGGTTTTTGTGGTAGATGTATTGGGATGTGCGAAATTTGAAGACAATCGGAATTTGATTTCATCTTTTATAATAGTAATAATTATTCCAATTGGAGTGGACCTATTTTGTCCATTTTCGCAACTGACCTAGCACTGATGCAAATATTAGATGTGCAACGTTTGACCAAAATTGGATTATCCTTTCTCTTTCTGTGTAGTTTTTTTATACCCTTCACCATAGTATGGAGTATAATATATGTACCATATAGTTTGTCATTCCGTTTGTAACACCTCGATATACACATTTTAGACCCCACAAAGTATATTCTTAATTAGCATAAAATGTTGTGTCGATTAGCGATGTCCGTCCGTCCGTCTGTGGAAATCACTCTAGCTTCCGAATTGAAGTAGATTAAAATTTTATTAATCTCATATGTATTTTATATCTGCAGGACTTTTGGTATTGAAAATGGGCCATGTATTTTTGGTATAGCCCCCATATAAAGGTACCTCCCGATATTCGATATTTTAATGATTTTAGTGACATTTTTCGCCAGAATTGTTTCAAATTTGATATTTGAAGATCGTAATGGATACTACAGCCCACAACAGAAAATTGTCTGTGCAGGCCACGTCTTCGTATAGCCCCCATATAACGGTATCTCCCGATATTCCGTATTTTGATTTTATCGACATTATAACCGATTTTTTTTTTTAAGTTTCGCATTTGAATATTGTAATGGCTTATGATGAGTGTATTCAAAGTTCGATCTTACAGCTTTTTCATATTTTTTTTTTTTTTTTTTGAAAAGTGTTATCTTTTGTGTTAGAGGTCCCAGAAGGAATGGTCCGATATTGCCCATCTCCGAACTCGTTCTAAGTTTGATAATAATATTACGATTTACTAAGTTTGTACCAAATCAGATACTCCCTTCGAGAGTTATCGTGCGCAACAGCCAGCAGACAGACAAACGGACTAACGAACGTCGCTATATCGACTTCAAATGTCCCGAAACAAATTTGGTACATCATCAAAATGGCGGATATTTGGAGGTATGCTTATGTATAGACAATACGATATCGTTAAACGATAAAGTCCATTTCAGAATATGACCTGACCACAGTGGAAGCTAGCTGGGTTACAACCAAATACGTCACATCAGCCCGAATCGGATAAATTTTGCCATACAGGGTCATGTTTAGACCTGAAATATGTGTGCCAATTTTGGTGAATATCGGCTAAGATTTAGATAGCCGATTTGGTATTTATGTCCCTCACATTCGTAATATGCACTCCACAACAATCATATTTTGTACCAAATATATTCATCCCGGAAATACAAGTAAAATCGGTTCAGATTTGGATTAGCTCTCATATATATTTTTCTGATTTCAGGTTTTGTGCACCAAATGCTTAATATTAACATAAATGGAGTGGATTTTGGCACATACAACCGCATTCAACACAGAAGCAAGTACTTAAATTTCGGTGAAAATTCGATCAAGTGTATGCTCTATAAATTTGAACAGTGTAATTATAATTTGTACAATTGTTTGTTTGCTCCTTTTGCATACATATGTATGTCCACATACAAGAAGTCAAAATAATACTCCCACGAGGGAATGGGGACGGAGACTAAAATGAGTTACCAAATAAAAGACGACCACAGAAACCATCATCTACTCATTACTTTTAAATGAGTTGTGTGCCAAGTTTTCGGCGAATATCGCCATTGTGTTCAGTGCTGGGTTCGCGTGGAATTATAACGGTTGTCGCGCCATCCACAAAGTTAAAAGGATATTCAACTTTAATACAATCTCCAAAAAAAAAGGAAGAGAGCAAAAGGTTATGCATACATAGATAACACAATATGTGTTTCCGTACTGCATGACTGTTGAGAGTATCAGCGGAATTACGGCTATTTTAATTTTAGGGATAATTTTGCCTTTGAATGCAAATTTAGTTGGGGTTTTAGTTATTTTTGTGAAAATAGTGAATTAAAGGAGGGATTCGGAGTCTTGTTAAACAATTGTGTCAACTGTATGATTTAACAAGTAAAAAAGCTGTAAGTTCGGCCGGGCCGAACTTTTAATACCCTCCACCATTTGGTACAAATTTGGCAAATTCCAAAAAAAAAAAAATAAATAAATAAAATAAAATAAAAGCCGTTAAAAATTCTGTTAAAATCTTAAAAATAACGAATACCGACGACGTAGATAGGCAACTTTTGTCATAAGTTATTACAATATTTAAATGCGAAACTTGAAGAAAAATCTGTTTAAAATGTAGCTGAAATCATCAAAATACCGAATATAGTACCGTTATATGGGAGCTATACGAAGACGTGGACCTGCACAGAAAATTTTCTGGAACGGGCTGAAGTATCCATTATGAACTTCACATGCGAAATTTGAAAAAATCCCATTAAATAATGTCGCTAAAATCATCAAAATACCGAATATCGGAGGGGGGAGGTATATGGGGGCTATACGAAGACCTGGACCTACATGGCCCATTTTCTGTTTTATGCTGCAGTATCTATTGAGAACTTCAAATACCAAATTTGGAACGATTTAAATAATGTCGCTTAAATCATCAAAATACCGAATATCAGGAGGTACCGTTATTTGGGGGCTAAATGATAACTTGACCTATATGCCCCATTTACGAACTTAACCTGCCTACTGGCAAAATATACATGTGTATACAATTTTAGCCTTCTATCTCAATTTGTTCGAAAGATAGCGTGATTACAACAGACAGATGGACAGACAGACACACAGACAGAATGACATGGCTAAATCGTCTTAGAATTTTACGCTGATCAAGAATATATATACTTTGTTGGGTCTGACATGAGTATTTCGAGGAGTTACAAATGGAATGACAAAATTAATATACCCTCCATAGTATGGTGGAGGGTATAAAAAGGCCATCTCTGACCTGTGTTCCCCAAAAATAAATACCTTTACATTTGTCCCCTTCTTTTATGTCCTGAATTAGTTAAAGCCTACAACATTTGTTATCTTATCTGAACACCTGCCTCCCCTTCTCTACTGCTAGCTATAACAATATTTTTAATCCCTTCCAATCACCAATTGACCATTATTACCTTTATTAACATAAAACCACGCCCCTCTCTCCACCCCTTTTTGCCACATCAAAATTGTACTTACGAAATGAATTAGTACCCGAACTGGAAGAACCACGACTAGGACTCTGTCGATGTTTCCAAGGCATTATGCTAGTCAAACTTGAATGATGTGCCGGATGATGGTGGTGATTGCCCGTGCCATTGCTCTGGTGAAACTTCTCCGATGACAGCGAGGCCGATTTAAGCAAATGGCCACTGCCGCTGCCCACCAGCGCATGATGATGGTGATGCTGATGGCCGTCGACCACCAGATGATCATTACAATGGAAATCTTTGTGCTGGGTGGGGGGATAGTGCTGATGGAGATGCTGATGCTGAGCGTGTAACAGTTTGTTATCTTTAAGGCCACTACTAATGCTGTTGCCGTTGTTGTTCGATATGAGGGTGGCGGCGTTGTTGGTGGTGGTGGTGGTGCCGTTGCAAATCTGTGAATTGGTGCCATGCATTTTGTGATGATGTGGATGTTGATGCAGTAGTGATGAAGATGTCATCGTGTCATAACTGTAATTGTCCATAATGTCGGCAAGATTATTGAAACTACGACTATTATAGGCGGACGATGACCTCAATAGGGAACTGGTTGTTGGTTCAGGCCTACCTTTGCCCGTGGCAGCGGTCGAGCCGGTGTGGAAGATCTGCTGTTGCTGCGGCATTGCGTGATTGTCGTGGTTGGCACACAGCGACGATTGCATGAAATCACGCGAAAAATTCGACCATGATTTCGAGAAACAGCGACAACGTTCGCCGGCACCCAAAGGACGCATTGTGGCATATTGAGTTTGTGGTTGCTGAAAAGGATACTGGGATAAGGATTGCTGTTGCTGTTGTTGTGAGGAGTATAGTGCCAGCTGGCGGGCATAGTCACTGCTCGGTCCTATGGTGTTGTATTTACTAAGGCTCAGCCGGCTGCTGTTCTTGTACTGTTGCAGCTTCTGTTGCAAGTCGCGCTGTGACAGATGGAAATCTGTGGTATGATAAGCGCCCATCATTGACGGCGGCAGCAGCGGCGGTGGTCCCACATTTATGGCTCCCGATGAGCTCTTGTGCAGAAAGCACAGCGAGGGATCTGACTTTTGGCTACGGGGCACGATGATGTCATCGTGCACGGGATAGGGCGGGGGATAATGACCAAATGGAGCGGCAGCAGCCGAACTCTTTGTTACATGACAAACGTCGGGTTTATTGTGCGTGGCCAGGGTGGCCAGTGTGGCTGCATGCTGCGGCTTATAGCTGCCGTTTGTCGTTGTACTGGTCGTCGACATGATGTCCGAACTCACAGCATTGGCACACTTCAATATGGAAGTGGTGCAGTCGTCAATCACAGCCCTTACATCGTGAACACTTTTGGCACAGTCGTTCAGTAAATCACCGCTACACAGGGTGGCAATGGACCCACTGCTATGGTTGTTGTTGGCGCTGTTGCTATTGTTGTGGGTATTGTTGTTGTTCGAGTGTTGATGGTGCTGTGCGTTGTCTTGGGCCGCCATTGTTTGTTTGCCATTACAATGTATAGAGGATGATCTTGGATTTATTTGATGCTGTTGATGTTGTTGTTGCTGCTGTTGTTGATGTTGTTGTTGCTGTTGATGCTGTTGTTGCAGATGTTGCAACAAGCGTAGACTGCGTATGCTACCATTGCGTTTCATGGCCGGTGGCGGAGGTACAGGCGGTATTGTTTCAGCATCGGATGAACTTAATGCATCACTCTGTAATGAAAGTAATCGTAAAAATTGAGATAAGTGTCAAATGAATATTATTTATGAAAATTATTTTTGGTACGTTTTGAAAAAAAAAAAACAAGTAAAAAAGCTGTAAGTTCGGCCGGGCCGAACTTTGAATACCCTCCACCATTTGGAACGAATTTGGCAATTCACAAAAACAATTAAATCCGTTAAAAAATCTATTAAAATTTTTGATAATACCGAATGTAGCTGTCATATTAGGGTCTATACGACGATAACATAACATTTGTCATAAGCCTTTACAATATTCAAATGCGAGGTACCGTTATATGGGGGCTATAAGAAGACGTGGACCTGCACAGACAATTTCCTATCTTATACTGTAGTATTCATTACGAACTTCAAATACCAAATTTTAAATAATTCCGGTAAAAAAGGTCGGTAAAATCATCAAAATATCGAATATCGAATATCGGGAGGTACCGTTATATGGGGGCCATACGAAGACGTAGACCTGCACAGACAATTTTCTGTCTTAGACTTTAGTATCCATTACGAACTTCAAATACAAAATTTGAAACAATTCCGGTGAATAATGTCGCTAAAATCATCAAAATACCGAATATATGGGGGCTATACCAAAACGTGGACCTACATGGCGCATTTTCAATACCAAAAGTTCTGCAGACATAATATACATTTGGGTAAGATTTTATCAACCTACTTCAATCCATTCGGAAGCTACAGTGATTTCCACGGACAGACGGACGAACATCGTTAAATCGACATACAATTTTATGCTGATCAATAATATATGGGGGTTTGTGGGGTCTAAAATGTATATTTCGAAGTGGTACAAACGGAATGACAAACTTAATATATCCTCCATACTATGGTGGAGGGTATAAAAACGGATGCTCATTTTGAATTTTGTGAGAGTTATAGGTATTCAAGATGTTGTACCCTTCGTGAGTGGTCCTAATTATACCATCTTCATATCAGAGTTAGTAAAGTTGTTAAAAATATTGGGATATTTAAAATTTAAGGGGAACGGAATGGAAAATCTTTACACTTTTTGGGTACCAGAAAGAGTGGATCGATGTATCCCCTCTCCACATTACTTTGTTGGAAATAATAGGATGCTAAGTTATGTCTACTATGTCGCCTTTTATGAGCTATTGTGGGGGAGGTGCCTTCATACCAGATTTTGGAATATGCAAAATTTAAAGACAATCGGACTCTTGTTTTACATTTTATAAGAGATATAAGTATTCAAAAAAATAACCCTTTTCTAGAAGAAGTGGGTCGATATTGTCCTATTTCATACCTGAGTTCGCACTGATGCATATATGTTTGAATCTACAATTTTTAAATAAAATCCGATTATCTTTTTTTTAATCTATGCGGTGTATTATTATTATAAGTATAATTATTATTATTATTATTATTATTATTATTATTATTATTATTATTATTATTATTATTATTATTATTATTATTATTATTATTATTATTATTATTATTATTATTATTATTTTATACCCTCAGCCATATGGCTAGAGATGGTATACGACCAAAACGTACCTCATCGAAATAACGGCTTTAGACCCTAGGTCTCTTTGGACAAAATCCATTTCAGGACATTTGGATTTAGCGATGTCCGTCTAGCTGGTGCGCACGATAACTCTCGAAGGAAGCATCCGATTTTATTCAAACTTGGTACATCGTATTATTATTGTCAAACTTAGATCGAATTCGGAGATAGGCAATATCGGTCCCAAGAAAATAATGTACTGCACCAAAAGAAAAAGGATAATCCGATTTTGCTCCAACTTTGCGAATATTTGCATCAGTGCTAGGTCAGGTGCGAAAATGGACAATATTGGTCCACTCCATCAAGTACCTCCCCAACAAAGGGTCTACATTTTAAATAACTATAACTCTTATAAAATGTGATGTAAGTGTCCGATTGTCTTCAAATTGCACAGAATACAATATTTTTATTAACCCAAGGTCTGGTATGAAGATGCAATATATGGGTGCAATCCTTCTGGCACCACCCTCCCCCCACCAAAGGTTCAAAATTTTTAATATCCGTGAAGATCATAAAACTCGAAGTTAACATCCGATGCTATTCAAACTTGGCACATCTTAATATTTCTATCTACACAAGATCTGTTATAAAGATTATAGAGATCGGACCACTCCTTCTGGACCACCACATAGGGTCAAAGTTTTGGATAACCAAAACGATTATAAAATCCAAATTAAGCATTCTTTTCTCTTCATATTTCATACATTACATAATTTCTATCAATACAAGATCTGCTGTGAAGATAAGATATATCGGTCCACTTTTTCTACTATCTCCCCCACATAGGGTCAAAATTTTGAATATCCACCAAGCTCATAAAACGCGAAACTAACATTCGATTTCATTCAGACTTGGTACATCTTAATACTTCCATCAACACAAGACCTGTCGTAAAGACGGTATAGATCGGACCATTTCATCTGATACCTCCCCCAAATAGGCTTCAAGATTTTGAAAAACAAAACGCCCAAAGAAAGCGAAATAAGTACTCAACTCTCCAAAAAGTGTCACAATTTTCAATACTTTTATCTGCCATGACTTGCGAATCAAGAGAATTATAAGATCTGGTATAAAAATGGTATATAAGGACAACTTATTATAGTACTCCCATTCAAAATTTCAACAATTTTCAAAGAATATTATAATAATTTAGAAATAAAATATGTTAACTTGTTTTCATTTTTTTTAGTAGTTCATCCTTTGCCATTCCAACATCCTAAAGACTTTTTGCATGTATCAAATTAGTTCGTATTTATATTCGAATTTATTGTTCCAATTGTAGCATAAAAATCAAGCGTACCCACATTCATTTTCGAAAAGCCCTTTCGCAGGGATTTTAAAAAAATCTCTTCAACTATGGTTGGCTGGAAAATACCCCAAAGACTTGCAATAATACCATGTAACATACATATTTTACAACAAGTCTCTCTCTAGTAATACCTGGATAGCTAAAAGCAATAACATATTTTTATTTTCATTCTCATTTCGTGTTCGTTTGCTGTGTTGTTTGTGTTTCCTTAGCCTCTTCTGTGACATCAATGCTGTGACATCGGGAAATCAGGCAACAGCTATTACCAGCATCATCATAATCAGCAGCGCCAGTGACAACGGCAACGACAGTGTCATTACTGTAATTGCTATCATGGCACATAAAAGCGTTATGTTTTTTTGTCGCACATACTTACATATGTATGTGTGTATTTACATGGCCATAGATATATATTAATATATAAACATATTCATACATATATATATGTATTCGCAATTTTTGTTCTTATTATTTTTACTTTTTTTTCTTTGCAGCAGCAAAATCCCTGTGTACTAAAAGGTAAACAAGTGCTTACACACACACACATACATGTGTGCGAGGGTGTGTATTCGCATTCACAGTGTTCTACATGCCCATGTGTACACAAGTATGTGGCACAAGATTTTCAGGCAAACATTTAAAGAAACGAAAGAGAGGAAAAAAAACCATGCATGTCCTTCATACGTCATGAGATTTAATGTTAATGTGACAAATTTCTTCATATGCACTCAAAATTGTACTTGAACGCATCGCTGGCTGCTTAATTCGATTTAATTTGTTATTCTGTGCCAAAGTTATAACAACTTGGCTTCATGGTATGCATGTTGCCATGCAACTGGGGTGGGTGGGAATTTATGGAGAATGGAAGGTAGAATATAAGAAAAAAATTAAAACGTATAAATTGGTATTTAAGAAATAATTCAGTAAAGTAATTATTTCCTTGCGATTGCTTTATTCTTAATGTTTTGAATTGTTACAAGGCTCAAAAAAACAAAAAAAAAAAAAAAAAAAAAAAATTATCATTTTATCTTCATACAAAGCAATATTTCTATTTTCATTCGGCCTACCATTTCTGGTTCAAATTTTTGAGGTCAAATTTTTGAATATTAATAATTATCATAAAATGTGAAATAAGTTTCCGCATATAATTTAACTTAGCACATCGCAATCTAAAGGTTTTTGTTAAAAAAAAAAATGGTCCAGAAGTAAGCTAAATTTGGAAAAGATCAGTTCAGATATAGTTATAGCTCTCTTTCTCCCAAAGCTGTAATATATTTGTTGCAGCCGATTTGAGTTTTAAAATATTTGAAGGCGGTAATATTCTCCCGATGTCATTGATAATGATTTTTGCTCTATCCCTTCACCCAATACCAAATTAAGTTCCATTTGGTACTTTTCGAACAATTATAGTACGCATTTTCAAAACAATTTCCATATCTCAAACTCAGATACCAACATTGACCTTAATACCAAATTTCAGAATTTCAGGTCTTTAATTTCCCCAATTACGACCCGATGACGCATATTGTGTTGCATTTTGCACTTTTCGTACGTTAATAGTACGCATTTCCAAAACCAGCTTCTTCTCTCCGCCGTAGACACCAACCGTGACATCCATATCAAATTTCAGGATTTCAGCTCTATTCTATCACCAAATACTAAATTTAGTACTGTTAAGCAATTTTCTTATACAATTCCAAAACCATTATTTCCAGATACCAGCAGAAACCGCAATATAAAATTTGAGGATTCCAGGAACCCAATAACAAATATAGTACCATTTGGTACTTTTCGTACAAATATAAAACGCCTTTCTAGACCACCGCCAAATCTGAATCACAGATACCGTTAGTACCCTAAATATCAAATTTCAGAATTTTATCCCTATTCCTTCACCTAATACAAAATATAGTACCATTCAGTTCTTTTCGTACGTTCATAGAACGCATTTCAAATTTAATTTACCAACAGAGACCTCAGTATTGACGATTCCAGTACCATTTACACATCTCCCAAAATCAACTACTTATCTTATTTCCAGATACCAAGAGATACCTCAATATTACATTTCGGGATTCCAGCTCTATCCCTTCATCCAATACCCAACTTAGTACCATTTATTACATTTCGTACAAAACATAGGACGCATTTTCAAACCGCTGTCAAATATGAAGCACATATACCAAGAGTAATTCAAACATCAAATTTAAGAATTTTATCTCTTTTCGAACAATTATAGGAAACATTGCCAAAACCACCTCCATATGTGCAGGTTACACATGAACAGCGACCCAAACTCAAAAATTCGAATTTTAAACCCTAGCTGTTTACCCAAATTGCACCAAATATAGTACTATTTAGCACTTTTCGTGCCATTTTAGTACGAATTTTCATAGACGCAGTCTTATCACACGCCTACGCACCTAGACTGGTTCTCATGCAAAACGAGCTGAAGACAGTATTTATGGAGGAGTTGAAGGGAGTCTTCACAATCGGACGAGCTAAAAGTGGTCTATATTTGGAGTCCCTATTGAAGAGCCGAGGTCACAGTTTCTAGACGAGCTGTAAGGTTGGGGGAAAAATTGCTCCCCAGCAAATACCACATATAGGCAATGCAGCAATCAGCCTCCGTGAAGTCTATACAGCATGTATTATTGCTTCTTTTCATTATTTTCAATTTATTAGTTGCCGAGCCCTGGTATAGAGTCATTAACACAAAATCATGAACTATTTTTTCAAAACTTATTTTAAGTTACATCTGAATATATCTCAAAGCGCTTTAGCTAATTCTTCTAGTTGGTGGTCTGAAGTACTAAAACACAATGGGACAAAATATTTTTTTTCCATAATTACAGGTAAACCCAATATATTCTGAAAAAAGAGCTAAAAATAGAAGATTCGTATACTTTTTTCACATTTTTTCGGATTAAGATTCTTTGGATACATTCATTTTAGGTATACAGTGTGTCTATCAAGTCAGCAGAAGGGTCTTTTTAAACCGTTAGACATGTGGCTAGATGGGGTACACATATATACTTTGATACGGCCAAAAATTTGTCTCATCGAAATAACGGTACCAGATCCGAGGTCTCTTGGTCCAAAGACCAAGGTCATTTGGAGTCGATCTAGCGATGTCCGACTCCTTCTGGTACCTCCCCCACAATAGGTCGAAATTAAAAAAAAAGAAAAAAAAATATTTTACTTCACTGAAACAGAAATGATAATCCGATTTTGATCCAACTTTGCAAATCCTTATATTTGCATCAGTCCTAGGTCAGTTGCCAAAATGGACAATATCGGGCCACTTCATTAAGTACCTCCCCACAAAGGGTCAAATAATTATAGCTCTTATTAAGTGTGATGTAAGAATCCGATTGTCTTAAAATTACACGCATCACAATATTTCTATACACCCAAGTGAAGATGGATATATCGGTCCACTCCTTCTGGTATCTTCCCCGAAGGGTAAAAATTTTGAATATCCTTGAAGCTCATAAAACGCGAAAATAACGTCTGATTCCATTCGGACGTGGTACACATCAATGTTTCCATCAACACAAGATCTGTTATAAAGTTGGTATAGTTCAGAACATTTCTTCTGGTACCTCCTCCTCAAGATTTTGAAAAAGAAAACGTTCAAAGAAAGCAAAAAAAAAAAAAAAAAAAAAAAAAATCGACTCTCGTCAAAGGTCTGTTGTGAAGATTATATATGTCTGCATGCCCTTCTGGTACCTCACAGACAAATGGTCACAATTTTCAAACCTTTATAGTTATGGCGAAAAAAAGGCAGGCAACTTGCTATATCTAAATATTTCTCTCAATCTGAGATGAATATGGAATTTATGATTTCCCATAAAATTGAATATAAATGTTCGATTTTCTTGTAATTTGCCCATACCAATATTTTATCTGTATTTAATTTAAATTGGAATACTTCAGTCGTAACTAACGCACATTTTAACATTTTCTAAAAATTATCACAAGTCTCATATAAAGTGAAGGAAGTAACCAATATAGTCCAAATCTGGCACGTCGCAATATATTTTTATCATATTAATTTAGGTACTATACGAAATGGACAATATTGGCTCATTCCTTCGGAACCTACACCTTAGAGGGTCAAACAGTTGAATAATCATAGTAGAATTCAAAATATATTTCAATAATCGAACATAATTCAAAAAAAAAAAAAAAAAAAATAATAATAATAAATAAATAAATGATTGGAAATTACTTACTTTTTCCACCCGATTTCAAAATAATTTTCATAAGGTATTCAATATTTTGTACTTTAATTAAAATCACTGCCACCCACTGGATTCTTCATCAGTTACAAATTCTATTAGATATGGCATCATATGTTCGCCATTTGCTGTAGGCTGGTGTAGTCATTTTTTTAATGGATTTCTTTTATATATTTAATGTGAATACAATTTGGCCCGGTTACCTTTTTAATTCCATTTCTCTATGAAAACTACAAATCAATGAATAAAAGAAAAAAAAACGGAATGAAAAACATATCATCCTTATCAATCATTTTTTAAAGCATTAATCAGAAATGTGTGTTTCCGCCGTTGCTGCCGCTGTTGTTGTCCTTTCACTTCCTATGACAACGGTGTGCCATCACCAATATGACTATGACGATGATGATGATGGCATACGGCACACACACATACACACACATACCCTAGCAGCCGAGAAAGAGGCAAACAATGCCAGAGATTCCTTTGTGAATTTTCATTTTCAACAATTGTTATCAAGTGATGCTTAAAACATTTCTCTGCGATAAGTCAATCAAATCAATGGCAAACAGAAATAATATTCTATTTTTCGATTTTTGTGTGTGTGTGTGCGTCCTTCGGTTTTCTGTTCCCTCTTTCGTTTGTTCTTTTCTTTTCATTTCATTTCATTTCATATTGTATTTGGAATTTTGAACAGTTTACTTAAATTGGAGCAAGGCAAGACATGGAAAAAAAATGAAATAAAAATATCTGCAAATTGAAAGCTTTTATGATATTAGTAAGTAGTATTGGTGGGGTGAGAGGGGGTGCGAGCGAGTGTGGGCGTCTAGTGCCGGAGGAACGAAAAAAAGGGAAATTGGTGCTGGGGTTTACCTCCTCAAAACGGATATATACTTTGATAACATTGAAGGCTGCGTCAAGTGGAAATGAAATTGAAATAAATTCATATTTCATAGATTTCTGTACTTTTCCAAATGCCATAAAAGGAACCATATTTTTTTCCTCACCAAACAGCTCTTATCGCAGATACAGTGTCAAACAATCTTTAAAGTTTTTTAGCTTCGGTTTCTTTTTAATA